GATGGGTTTTTTTGGCAAATGTGAGACGAGCCTTTGTGTTCCTTTTGGCCAGCAGTGGTTTTCTCCTTGAACTCTCCCATGGATGCCATTTTTACCCAGTCTTTTTCTTATTGTTAAATCATGAAATCTGGCCTTAACTGCGACATGTGAGACCTGCAGTTCCTTAGATGTTGTTTTAGGGTCTTTTGTGACCTCCTGGATGAGTCATTGATGTGCTTTTGGAGTCATTTTGATAGACCAGTCCCCCTGGGAAGGTTCACCACTGTTCCCACTTTCCTCCATTTGTAGATGATGGCTCTCACTGTGGCTCTCAAAGCCTTAGGGATGACTGTGTAATGCTTTCCAGATTAATCGGTGTCAGTGACTTTGTCAGCTTTTTCTTTAGATTGTGCTATGTGTTGATCTTTAAGATCGTTTAGCCTGCTTCACTTTGTCGGGTTTCATTTAAGTGATATGTTGTGGCAATGAAACTGAACTCAGCTTTGTGAAAAATGTGGTTAATCACCTCAATGACATCAATCAATTCATAATTTAACAAGGGGTAATTACTTTTTCACACAGGTGAGATGGGTATGAAAGCTGTTCTCCTTTAGGAACTGAAATCATTTAAAAACTGCGTTTTGTGTTTACTCAGGTTATCTTTGACACAGGCGCAAAAATCTAAGCGATCAGGAAGGACAAATGCTTTTTCACAGCACTGCGTTCACACCAATCCTATCTACCCTGCCCTCCCCTTCTTTTTACTCTTTGATGTCAAAGTCTATAATCTGCCTCATGCTCATCCACACCTCTCTTGATGTTGTTTTGCTTTAATTTATTTGCCAGCTCGTCTGTGGGAGTCCTTGCACTCCCCGTGTCTCACCTTAAGGTCAAACTGTACCCTTTTCAGCTTGTTCTTGTCACCAAACCTCTCCTCTTATTTATTTATCCATCAGCAGATACTTGTCTGTAGGTCATTTTGTTTTTAGAAAAACAGCCACTGTCACGCACTCAATAATGTTATTTATATCACCCCCATGTGGCCTGCACAACTAAATCTGTTGTTTCAAAATAGGCTTCACTGGCCACCTGGTCGACCTCTTCAAGATGAAGCCAAAGTTTAATTTGACATTGGTAGACAAGTGATCCAGTGATCTGCTTTCCCACATAGTGCTGTCAACATGCTGGGGGACAACACATGGCGTTTTATACTGTAAAGTAAATACACTAGAATATAGAAAGAAACCTCCATAATCATATGACACCCATGAGCAAGCACTTGGCGACAGTAGGAAGTAAAAACTTTTAACAGGAAGAAACCTCCAGCAGAACCAGGCTCAGGGTGGAATCTGCCATGACCAGATGTGGAGAGTGGTGATGCATAAACACAGAGCGTGAAAAGAGATGAGTGAAGAAGAAACCCTCAATTCATTATGGAAAGCCTCAAAGCAGTCAGAGTATATCAGTGTAATGAAATAAGATTTATCAAATCGTAAAAGTGGAGAGGATGTCTGTTTAGCAGAGAAAGAAGTACTCTGTTGGGATAATATGTTACTATGAGATCTTTAAAATATGACAGGTCTGATTATTCAAGATTTTTTTATGTGAGGAGAAGGATTTTAAATTCAATTCTGGATTTAAAGGGAGCCAATGAAGAGAAGCCAGTGTGGGAGAAATGTTCTCTCTTTCTAGTCCCTGTCGGTACGCTTGCTGCAGTGGTTTGGATCAGCTGAAGGCTTCTCAGTGGAAATGCTTTAACTAGTTTTTCAACATCAATCTGAGAAGGGATGTTTACAGTTTTAAAGATATTGTGCATATTAATGAAAGTAATCTCATGTATGTGTTTATTATTCACAGTGAAGGAAACTTCCTGGTCAAAACCAACCAAGATTTCTCACAGTGTTACTGAAGGTCAAGATAATGTTGTGCAGAGTTCAATAACCTCAGTTTTGTCTGAATGTATTAGTTTAAAATGAGAGATAATCAATGCATTTATTATCATAAAGACGTACGAGTAGGTTAACTTAACTGACTGTATTATCTGGCCTCATATGTAAATATAGTTGGTGAACAACTAAGTATTAATATCGTTCAGTTCAGTACTTAGCCCAAACAATTGTGTTAAATTAAAATATACCTCAGGCATGTATTATTAAAATTGAACTTTTTTGTGTTGACTGTTAAATTCAGATTTTTTTTACAACCTGTAGCACATTTAAATAACAGAAGCTGACCCAAAGTGCTTTAAAGCTGGACACATTTATATTCCAGCTCTCCAAAAACAATAAAAACCCAGTCTCAAAATACATGAAAAACTAAAATGTGTATTTTCTAATGACTCATTATTGAGGAAAGTAAAAGTCCCAATGATTTAGCATTAAAATGTGTTGAGAATTTGCAGTTTAACGATGATCCATTGGCTCATCAGCCCTGCACATAACTGTGATTATAAACATTATTCCTTTCAATCAAATTCAGCCTATTTAAACCCCCCAAAATGTCAAAAAGTTTTCACGTAAACAGAAACCTTAAAATACTTTGCAGCATAACAAAAAGTTTTTTAAAGAGATAAGCTATGGTGTTTTGCCAGGAGAGCAGGCAGTGTGAACCAACTCAATCTGTCCAGATTCCAACAAGGAGAAAGATTTCTCTTATCAAAAGCTAGAGCTCAAAATGGTCCTGGATAAACACCACAGTTGTTACCACCTGGTTAAAAACTGGAAATAAAAATGAGAAGTGACACAAGGGTATGTTGGTGCGGTAAAGGTTTGCAGTTCTTATACTATGGAGTGATAGTGTGGAGTAATGAATGCTGGGTAATACAAAAAGACAAATGAGACAGCTGTGAGAGAAAAAAATAGGTCTTTTACACTTTTGGAAGCACAGATGTTGCAGGTAGGAAAACAGATTAATCCAGTGTTTAAAATGATATAAGAAATATTTAAAAAGCGGATGAGTGATGCTGTCAGAGTTTCAAAATTAAGAAAAATCTGCTTGGAGTCATTTTTTACAATTCAGAAATGAAAAATGATACATGGGAATCTGTTCAATTGTTCAACACTTCTTCCTGTGTACCCAAAGAAAAGGCTACAAAATCATTTCTATAGACCAGGGTGTTCACAACACAACACAACACAACACAGTAGTGGGCAAAGTTCACAAGAGAGCTGAGACTGTTAGAGGTGAGAAAGAACCCAAGGGCAACCCACAAAACACCTGTGGCTAAAATCATTGTCCGTGCCTCCACTGTAACAGAAACAGTGGATAAGAACATGCGACATGACTCATCTGTATTTTTGCTGGGTCTTTACCATATAAAGCACCTTGAGGTGACTGTTGTTGTGATTTGATGCTATATAAATAAAATGTAATCGAACTGAATCTGGTTGGATTCTGATTATATTGCCATATAAAAGTTGCTGAGCAATTATGTCATCCTGCAGCAGCAACTATGTCACTATTTGTGGGGAAATTTCTGTTTAAAAAATCTCTGATTTTGTCGTTATTCTGAATATAATTAGTTGATGTAAATTTCTGTGTAAGACAGCACGGCAGTACAGTGGATAGCACTGTTGCCTTACAGCAAGAAGGTCCTGGGTTACAAGCCGCCATCTAGCTGGCTTATTTCTGTGTGGAGTTTGCATGTTTGCCTCGTGTCTGCATGCTTCCTCCCACAGTCCAAAGACATGCAGTTAGCGAGGTTAGGGAAGCTGGAGTGATGGATGGATGGCAGCAGGTTCACAGTTTCTGTCTTTTATCATAGTTAACGAGACAGCATCCCAATCAGATTACATGCAATTGCCAGCTCGGCTGCATGCAGCTCCTATCGTTGATTTTGTGTCATCTTGATTCACCAAAGTTGTTTTAAAGATGCCGACTGACTTCAAGTCTTCAAACTCGTCTTTGTCTTCCAAGCAATTATTTTAAAAGCAATGAGACTGCAAACTCGTTGCACGTGTTCACAATAATTTTATAATCCAACCAAGTGTGTCTGTAGAAAAAAGCTTTATTAAAAGTTGCTTATAATAAAGCTTCAGTTTCTAACAGAAATTTAATTAAGCTTTTGGTAATTACAATTTACTGCTCCGCTCGCTGTCAGTCCCTCCTCTTTTGGCCAGGATGCTCTTTAAAGGCCTTTTTATTATTTTATTTTTTATTTTTTTAATTTAGTGGTGTTTCCGTGGTTAAACAAAGGTTAGATAAAACCATTATTCATTCAGGCTTTCATCCTTTGGGGATTAACTGAGCCTGTTTAAAAAGTAAAACTACATGTCTGAGGTACCTTTAAAGATTTAAGTCTTCAGCTGGAGCCGGGGGCAGAAAGGAGAGGTGCAGGGAAGTCAGAAAGTTTCGAGAGCTATTGTTTGTTTTGGTCTTTTCACCGGATTTGCTCTCAGTAAGTCAATAACATTCACTCATCCTCTAAAGATCACTTGAAGTTTTGTGCAGCGTCTTCTCTATCAGAGCGCTGCTCCTCTGATCCACAGCGTGGAGTCAGTTATGAATGAATGAAGCAGATTTCACAGGGGAGAAGACTTGAGGGTGCAAAACCTGCCAACTGACTTTATGCCCTTTGGCTCAATGCTGGTGTAGACTGTCTGAATAGCAGGTGTGAAAACCGCCTGGTATATGTGTGTGTCTTTTTTTTTTAATGGCCTTTCATTCCTCTCCTCTCGCTGCTTTTCTCACTTCTTTTTGACTTGAAAGAAAATCAAGGCCACAGATGTCACACTTAACTGCTGATGGTTGTGACAGTCTGGTTATATTAGAGTCATTCATTCTTTAATCGGCTCCATCAGATATTAGAACATCCTCATCTAAATCTATAATTACTAATGTTTTCTTGACATTCCCGTTTACACAGGAATCTTTTACCCATCTGACATTAGAAGATTTTGGCAAAGGACCATAAGAGGTAAGAAGGGAGGCAAAATGTGAAAAACAAACATGTCCGCCTTTTTCTCACCTTTAAACCGAGATGCAGTCATCGTGCTGAGATCAGTCTGAGGAAGGACAGAGGACAGGACTAAAACTGAATCCCCTGCTGGTCAGGTAAGACAACATGGATCCACACGTGATAACATTTCTCTTCTTTATAGACACGTGCAGTCGGCTGAAATGTGAATATTTTTTAAACAATATGCAATAATCCCATGGAAATTGTACCTGCTTTTGAGATGGCATTCATGAGACGTCTTTTGTGTTTTGTCTCTTCGTCTCTCAGCATGCATGCTCCGTACGTGTCAGCGCTGCTCTTTCTTCTGCTGCTGAGCTTCCTGCCTCCTGCAGGTATGTCTGCAGCTCGTATAATGCATTACACATCAGTGGACCTGCTATTGTGACTCGTAGATATTCTGAGATGAGAGACAAGGTGTGAAATGTGCGCTCACACTGCCGTCTGTGTCTGCTTTCAGAGGGGAGCGAGGCGGCTGGCAGGAGGGAGGAGAGGGAGAAGCGAAGCGTGCCGTACTGGGGCCTGTGGTCGTCTGACTTTTTCGGATGGATGGAGGAGCTGCGAGCCCAGGCGGCCGATAATGGGATGCTGGACTTGGCTCGCACCTTCTGGGCTCACTTCCCCATCAGCAGCGAGCTGGGCTATGACAGTCCCGAGCCCGAGACTGAGGCTGAGGAGTGAGATGAAGGGTACAGATGGAAAACTGAAAGATGTTAGTACAGGAAGAAGTTACCTGTATTACCTGTTTAGATGTTTACTAGAAAAAAATCATCACATATGATGATAATCATTGTTATTAGAGTTTTTTACATGCTTTAAACATTGCAAAAAAAAACAAAACAATGTCAGTGTGCATTTTATCTAAACATGTTTACAGCAGGGAGATGTAATGTGGGATTATATAAGTAGATACAAACTTGGGGCATCTTACTTTAGCTTCTTTACTCTGTCTGTATTACACTGGCACATGGTCGAGGTTATCCCACCTCTTGCTCACTGACAGCTGGGATACGCTGCAGTCATTAAAAATAAAGCACAAAGAGTGAAATAAATTTAGAGCAAGTTGCAGCAGGACAGCTTTGTTTGTGCTTCCTTCTCTTCCCATTTGTGCCGTGGAGTAAATCACTCAAACTGCATGACTGTATGTAAAGTACCTGAAAACCAAATCACTCCAATAACATCACATTAACAGTCACAGGATGATGATGAATGAGCACTTTTACTTTTTGTTGGTTTGAGTATATTTTGTACGTGCTGACAGTTTAGCTCAGTAAATGCAAAAACACAGTGAAAGGTGGAGACTGCTGACTGTGCAGTTGCTTCAGTCCAACAGAGCACCTCTGGGGTGTCGTGGAACAGGAGACTCACACTGTGGAAGTGTAAGGATGCGACACTGTCATGAGATCGAAGTCTCCGAGGAATGTTTGCAGCACCTCGCTCTGTTTTGAATCTGTGCCATGAAGAATCATGAAGGCAAAATGGATGCAAGTCCTGCGAAAACCTAAATATACTCCATAATTCAGTAGCTTGCAGAAGCAGCTTTAGCAACAGTAATTTGAAGTAATTATTTCCTGTGTGAGTTTATCAGTCTCTCACATTGCTGAGGAATTTTGGCCCAGTTTTCTTTAAAAGGTTCATTGAGGTTTGCAGGCATTCATTTATCCACAGCTCTGCTAAGTCCTACCGCAGCATATCAGTCATGTAGAGGTCTGTGCTTTGACTTGGCCATTGAAACATGTTGATCCTTTTCTTTTTCTGCCATTCTTTTGTAGATTTGCTCCTGTGCCTGGGATCATTTTCCTGTTGCATGAACCCGTTTCAGCCAAGCTTTAGCTGTTAAACAAATTCATTCACATTTGACTCTAGAATACTTTGAGTACAGAGGGATTCATGGTTGAGTCAATGACTGCAAGGTGCCCAGGTCATGTGCCTGCAAAACATGTAACAATCACCACAGTAACCACCGCTGTGGTACCAAATTCAGCAGGCTCTTCGAAACAAGCCATACTTGTTCAATCTGTTTCTAATTGCACTGTCTGAACTTCACTCTAGCTGAGACCTGTAGAGTCTGACACGTCGCTCTCGCTTCTCTGCTTTAAGATCATTGCTCATGTTTTTCCTCTTTGGTGTTGTGTTCATGCACACCTGAAGGCTCACAACCAACAAACTGCCAGAACCTCTGCTTTTACAGAGACACTCACACTCACTGATGGTACATGAATCAAGCACATTTGTCAGGCAGCACCTGGCTGATATTTACCACTCATAATTCCCATGGAAATAGGAAGGGTTTACTTAATTTTTTCAACAGCGGATCTTCATTTTAGCTTTGGTTTTTTTTTTAGATAAATAGTGATGTGATGTAATATGGCACGCTTTGTGGTTGATCTGAGGTTGTATTTGGCTCTCGGAGGAGGCGGACGCACTTTTTCTCCTCTCCCTTATCTTCCCTGCTTATGT